TCCACCTATGTACATTTCTACTTCTTGACATTTATGCTCCCATGATTGTTGTTTTTCTTTTCTTATGAGGTTTCTAACTCTCTTTCTTTGGATTTTATATTTCTCTCCATTTTCTTCTTTCTTGGTACTCCACCATTTTCATACAGTCTCTTCTTCTTCTCTATTTCCCGCTCCAGGTCTTGAGTAATCCAATAGCTCTTCCCTCTCCTTTTCTTATTTAAAGATATTTCACCAAACACTTCTTCAGCCACTTGATGTAGACAATCTTTGAGGTGTTCATATGTCTCCTCATTTGATCCAACTAGGTTTTTATTCAGTAAATTATCTAATATATTTTGAAATAAATATCTTATAGTGGTAATAGACACACTATATTATTATTTCCATACGCTTTGCGATTTAATTTTTCTTCCTTTCGTTCATCTTTCTCCGTTTCTTTTTGTTTTATGGATGGAAACATAATTTTGCTTCACTAGTAATGGTCTGGATTACATTCTGGGCCGCTGTGTGCCCTGATATCTATTACTTACCCCTTAATACTGTCTGTGATTATGTAGTCAATCACTGATCTCTTTCTTTACCTTATCTTCCCAAGTGAACATATGCATTCTTTATGCTGGAAGTGGCCATTTCTAATTATAAGTTCATGCTGTTCACATCGTTGAATCAATCTTTTTCCATTTGAATTTTCCACCCCTTCTCCATGTTGTCCAATGACTTTTGAGCATTTAGATTTTACCACAGTAGCATTAAAATAGCCTGATAAGTTCTCTATTTACCCCACATTCACTGATTACTCCATTTTTGAGTAAAATACTCTAAAATACAAGTATCTTCATTTTCATTCGGCCTCATACACTCCAAGAATCATCATTTTGTACCTAAAACTTTCCAAATTTACTTTAATCAGCCTCTCGCCTATGGCTTCCCAACTTCTCATATGCTTTCTAAATTTATTTTTTATGACTATGGAAATCCCTTTACTACCCCTCTGATCTTTTGGTACTCCGCTCCCAATATGGACATAGGATCCAATCTCATCTATACCCGAGCCCTTTTTCTTTGTCTCACTTAATGCAATATCCATATTTTTAAATCGAAGTTCCTTAAGGTTACCTCCTGTATCTTATTTCCCAAACTCGAGTATTCCATGTTTCAATATCATTATCCCATTTCCTTGCAGTTACCATCTGTTTTCTCATGATTAGGCCTTTTAGTATTTCTAGTTTTTACTTGAACGACAAGGAGCTGGCCTATCGTCTCAACCCCCTATTAGAAGGATGAAGATTTTTTTAGGGTTTACTCCCCAAGGAGGATAGCTTCACCGAGCTTTTGAGCTCCTCCTGCCCAGATCTCTTTTGGAATCGTCTTGTTCCGTTGGCAAGATCATACCCATACCCTTCAACCCTCAGTAGAAATGTAGGCTAGTATTACTGCCTAACTCTTTGTCGTTTCGAGATCCTTTTCAGTGCACTGTACCAGATGTTCTCTTCTTGCGCACCCATCCTCTTGTGGAGTATTTCTTCGTCTGACCCCTCCTCTTTGACCAGTCCGGCAAGGGAGGCCCCACTAGTAGCTACGCTACAGCCGGCATAGCTCTTTGGATCATGGAGGTACTCAAGCTCCATCACCATCACCATGGCCATGGCCATGGTCATGGTTATGTACTCCCTAAGTGAAGCAGAATGTCAATTTTGAAGAAAATTATGTGAATGGTTTAGGCACTAGTAGTGAACACAGACAGATAGTCAGGTGGACAGACACAGAAAAATCGCTTTACAGCAAAATGTCAGCATTGAAACCCCAGAAACTACTACTGTTCTGACTATACAAAATATTAGAGGAAGATATTTAAATATAAAGGAACAAGAATGATCCACGAATAAAATTGCACTTTTGCCACAGAATTAAACTACTTTCATCATCCTTTGTAAATAGAAAGCAAAAAAGTAAAAATAGCTTCACTTTTCTTTTCTTGCAATTTACACAAAATTAATGAGCTATTTTCTTTTTATTCTAGATGTATGAAATACAATTGTATAGTATAATACGAAAAGTACCTCTGAACTGCATTTATAAATATTACAATACGAAAATACATCTTAACAAATCAGAATTATTGCACTCACCTCTCCCATGACAGCAATTGGTGTTTCACCAGTTTCATGAGCTACTTGATGCTCAATAAGGAAGAACATATATTCATCATACAGAAGACGGATCAGGTGAAAGGAGCCAAAACTAGCCGCACTTCTCAGCGTCAAATCTCTGATGACCATGGAACTAAAAAACACATTGGTACATCAATGGAACTTTCAAAATAAATTTCTACAATATCTATTGCTTATTATAGCCCTACAAAATACAAATATCAGATATATTACATGATATTCAAATTCAACTACCTCATATGATTTTTTTTAATCAAAAAAATCTTAAATATTAATCATGTCATCAATTTGTTGAAGCAGTAATATTCGTGACAAGGAGTGATGACACGATTTATAAAACTTTATAACATAAATACAAACATGTATCATCAAGTTGAATGCAGTTACTGTCAATGAGTTTGCCTACATTTTATTGTAAAGAAGCAATTTGAGAAAGCAGTTTCAAACTACATATCATGTTAATCAAAATATGAAAAAATATATTTTGGATAATTTTGAATCTCACCTGTAAAAAGACCACTTTAACAGGAACTGTCTTGCCGCTTTGGCAAAATTAGGCTTTCCCTCATAGGGTTTCAACACCTGAGTGACCACACCCTTCAGCCAAGCCGCCCACTGCTCCAAAGAATTTTGCTGCTGAAGTGTGACCTTGAAATCAGCTTCTAGTCTTTGAACCATCCCAGCATCACACTGACACACCCAGGAAGCCTTGAAACAAAAACAAAAAAAAAATATTATCACAACATGCCTAATTTTAGTAATTCATTAAAATATTTTATTATTTACAATGTCTGTTATTCAATTATAAATTTTTTTATAAATCACCTTTTACGTGCATCAAAAAACATATTAAACAACTTGATAAATGATTCAAATGATCCAGAGTCCTTTAAAATGACATTCAAAAGCCCTTTTAATCATCAAATTCAGAAATACCAGTAACCTCATTTTCAAATTAACTATCAATATAAAACAAATGTCAAATTTCATCTTTTGTATTATTCATGTCACAATGATGATTACCATCCGCAAAATTAGAATCACCACAAAGTACTAGTTGAACATTTTTGCACTTACTTGTTCTTGCACATTGTGAAAATCCACTCGGTTTAGGTCCACCAGCATTTGTGAAATCTGAGAGGAATTTTGAAGAACAGCTCTAGCTGCCTGTGCAAGATGATTTAAAGAAGTGTATCGACGTAAAGTCTGTGCAAAGGCACTCACAGCAGAAACCTTAATCTGAACCATTTCCTCAGGACAGCCAGTCATGGCTGAAGTGAGCCACGACTCTAACCCTTTAGCAAAGTTCCTTATAGATTGAGTCAATGAGCTAGGAATTGGCCGAAGGACATCAGGTATAAGAACGTCAACTAAATTTTGATAAAAGAGGTAGTCGACACGCCGCACAAATTGCTGAACTGGGCTACATTTGCACAGCAAATATAATTTGGTTCTGTAATAAAAAATAAAGTGAAAATTAGTGACAGACCAAAATAAATAAATAAAAAATCTTTAAAAAAAATAAAAATAAAAATGATGATGTGCCAGAATCTGCATGATTAATCTAACACTTAAGCATTAACTCTTATTAATGATCTAAATGCTTATCTTAAAAGTTTTGTAATTCTTCTATATTTAACAATACCACTTAAAATTAATGAGATCATTTTTTGACTGACCTGTGTCAAATTTACCAAAGAAAAACAGAGAAACATAATAATTTTTTTGAATATTAATCCTCAATCGTAAACAACATGTTTTACACACTGGTGGTATATTTAAAAAACAAAAAACAAAACAAAACAAAACCCACTCTAGTTTATAGAATTCAATGAGAAAAATACTTACTTTGACAAATACTTCTCTTCTTCACATTCATCACCATTATTGTTGTCTTGGCTTCGCCAAAATTCTCGCCATAGACTTTCTACCGTTTGAAATTCCAAATTTACTACAGCATCAAGGAATGCCTACAAAAATGAAACAAATATATATAATTTTCATAAATACATGTTTAATCAAATTGGTAAACATTTAGTAAGGAAAAGTGCTATAAATTTCAAACGTATTGTAAATGAAGAGTTTTTAAGTTTTATTCCCATCATATTGCATTGACAAAAATGTTATCAAAGGAATAGGATCGAAACAAAAGTATATATCCAATTATGTTTAAGTTTAATTTTAAATCCTGACTAAAAACATTGTTTTTGTTTTAAAATTCAACCATTTGAGATTTATTTGTTTGTTTAGATACATTGTTACTGTATAAATTACAATCAGAAAATAATCAGCTGATTCTAGTATGTTTGTATTTATCATGTAAATAGTTCTTTGAGTGTTGATACTTTAGGCGCATAATTTCAATTACGATCTGATATTGAATTTATCACTGTCACTTGTAATACAATCACATGTCAATTTGTAATTTATTAAGTTATTATATTATAATATGAAAATGTAGGATCAGTTGTTAACTGTGTAGATCAAATTTATTATTATTATTATTATTATTATTATTATTATTATTATTATTATTATTATTATTAATGGTGGCACATATCATTACACCAATGTAAAATAAAGTTATATAATATATGCAAATTTATATGCATTAGCAAATGCAAATATTTAATGATAGTCTCAAAATTAAATGTTTTTATAATGAAAATTGCTTGACTCATTTAAAATTTCTGCACGCATCTTCTGTAAAGTTCGACATTCATGCCACAACAGGCACCACTGTTGCCATGCCCAGAGAGTATACAATTCATGTAGTAAATCAGAAACTTCCTATTTTGTATCATTACATACTGTCTATTTTCATCTATTATGTCTTATTTACTTGAATTTTCATTCAGATATGTAAAACAATGTTTGTCTGCAGACAAATAATTTTAATGTGGTTTTCATATTTATATTTGCATATGCATATTGTAGTCAAATGCCACTGACTGGCAACTTCTGTGGGAGTTTGTGTTTTTCCGACAACACTTCAACGACCTTACACGACCCACCACCATGAAACGTCTTTTTCAGGAATAATCACACAACAAATTACAAGAGGCAATAAATAACTGCATTTAAATCGGACCATTCCATGTGACTGAAATTGCAGGCGGGATTAAGCTTGGAACGTTTAAGTGTTAACTTGAATTTTGTATATATGCATGTTAATTTTGTAAATTCTTTTTATTTCTCACTTATATTTAAATATTTTAAATGTTAAATTGACATTTTCTCTAATAGAACATGTTGATCTATTAGACAAGGTAGACAGTTTTTCATTTTAAACAGCGAAATAGGCATCTATATGCAGTGCTACATTTAGAATAGCAGGTACCGCTTGAAATTTAAGTTGTTGATAACTACGAGGCAGATTTTAATGAAATGTCTTTTTTCCCCCCTTTTTTTTCTTCTTACCCCACTTTAGAACAATGCCATTTAGTGTAGACATTCATTTTATGTCCTGACAAAAGGAAATGACACATTTTTAATGCATTATTTTGTTGATTTTATTATTGATTAAATACTACTCACTTCAAATAATATTTATGAGATGTCATGAATGATCTCCCGAAATTTCCTGAGTAGCCTATTCGATTTCTAAGATCAGAAATTGTAATGTCAGCTGAGGTGAGTATGTAACCTAAGGTTCCTAAAATGCCTGTCAGTACCATTATTGGATGGGCCGATTTCAGCGTAACTAAAGTCAGAGATTAAGAACAGTCCAAACCAAAAGTTTCGGATCTGGGTTCACTTCAATGAATGGAAGAAGCCTCGATTACATCAGCATCATATCTAACAGCTTGAGATATTCATCCAAGCTGGTTTTGATCAGATTTTTATGTCATTTTTCTTTGCTCTTAGGGCACTTTTAAAACATTTTAAGAGTTTTTTAACGTTATAATAACTATCACGTTTTTTACTTTTATATTAAATTATTTCAAAATGCATTTTATGACCTTATTTTATCTAAAAAAAATGACATTTTTAAACCACTTTCCATACTCCTGTGATAACTGAAAATATGTTTTCCAGTATAAATGAAAATGCATATGGAAAGAAAAAAAAAAAAAAACTGCTAAAGATTAAGACGGGAAGTTGTGAGACATTGGGCTATTCTTCCAGTTATACTAAAAGAAAAAGAGAGAAATTAGAAGAAAGAAGAGAGAAAAATGAGAGAAAATAAAAAGAACAAAAGGCAATTTCTAAAATTCCAAAATTGTCTACATTTTTCTGCAAATATCAGAGTAAATCTTCTCATGTTTTAAATGAAACTTAAGAAGCATTAACTTCAAATTCGGTTTTCTCAGAAATTAACAGAACCTTTCACAACACTGAAGAAGATAATTCTCAAGAAGAAGAACTAACACAGATTCACAAATCACAATTATAACAGCTACTCTACTGATTTAGGACAATGGCCATCCAAGGTAATAGAAAATGAGCGAGAATACTGAATCATCAAAGGAAGTGAAGAATGTCAAAATATTAATAGAGATTTTACTTTGTGAAAAATATAATGTAAAAATGAAAATAAAATGAGATTTTGCCAAAAATGTACTTTTCCTAAATTGATGAAAACACAGCAGGAAAGAAAATAACTACTCGCCAAGCAAAGGTAGTTTGTTTTTGCTTTGCTTGCAACATTGTTGGTTCTGATAATTCTTCACTTACATTTATTGAAGAGGGCTTCAATGACTGGAAACATAGTGATTTAATGTTGAATTGACATGAAGAAAGTATTTCTCAAACGAAGAACTAGATTGCCTTGTTAGCTCAAAAGAAGAAGGGTGAATGCATAGACGCAGCAATTGTTGATGAAATATAGAAAGACAAACAATATTTGCGAATTTGTAATCAGAAATGGATTAGAGTTCTTTCACACACCACATCCTTAACTATGCCTTGAAAAAATTAGAAAAATTAATAAAAGAGACCCTGCATGATAAAAGTGCTACAGGACCCACATGTCATTAAACTGGTCTTATATTTGGATAAAAACTGTAGTTAGAGGTGTTTTTTACCCTCACTAAAACAGAACATTTTTTTACCATTCTTGCATGTTTTCCCTGAGAATTTCTGAAAATGGAAAAACCACCAAGTTTTCCAAAATTTGAGGCAAATTTGCACATCTTTCCAAAAATTTAAATCAGCAACTCGCAAAGGACATGTCTGGCCGAAGAGGAAGTCATGAATTATGAAGCTCTGGGGAACAGCAACTGCTGTTATGGCTTAGAAATCAACAAAAGATGGGGACTTAGAGACCCTCTGCACCCACTTGAGAGAGTTAAATTTTCACAGTTTCTGTACTGATATTGTTTCTATTTTTTTCTTATTATTTCAGACAAATTTTTATTTTATTACTAAGGTTTTATATTAAAAATTGAAACAAAATTTTTGAATAACAATCTTAACTTTTAGAGAACTTACAATGAAATACAGAAAAATTATAAAATTACCTCACAATGTTCTCGATAAATACTTCGCAATGTATCTACATCTTCTAAAGTGCAGTCTTCAGGCAAAGTAAGGCCAGGTGAAAAATCAATATCAGGAAATTCTGGAATAGCACCAGCTCCATCACCTAAATACTGGTGGTGTTGTGGGGAAGTTGAATTAGAATGATTCGATGTTACAGAATTATTTGTGCTTTGCTCATATTGATTGTTTTCTACATTCTTCTGGCCAGATCCAGAAAGAAACTTGTAGCGTTTTTGGGATGTTTGCTGCCTTACTGCCATTGATGTTCCATCTTCAGACAGTTGATTTAGATTGGAGCCAGGTTTTACCCGTATTCCATAATAGTGATACTTTGAATTACCTCTGAAACATGATCAAAAAAAATCTTTACATGATAAAATAAGATTATTAGGCAATATGATGACAAAAATGTACTAAGAAATACTGATAAATCTGAGAGGAATTTTAAGGGTGAAAATTTGTAACAAAGTTCCTTTCTTTTAACTGACCTTGTTCCTAAGCGACGTGTGCGTAGACCCAGAAATACTGAACGAATAAGTTTTCCAAATGAAGCTGCATTCACAGGATCAAGTTTATGTTCATTACAATGACGAAGATAGTGATTATACAAGGTGGAGCGAGGTAGACTCACTCCTTCTGCTGTCTCATAATTTTCAAGTAACCACTGTACCTGGTAGCAATCAAAAACATGTTTGATATAATCTCACTTGATCAAATAAAGTTAAACGGTAATTTTAAACTTGTTTTATTTATGATAAACACATCATTTGTTAAATCAGCAAAAATTAACAACAGCACACTCCACAATAGTAATCACATTATTGACATACTTACTAGTAGAGAAAAGAATAATGAAAAGTGAGATCTACTAAATTATGAAAATGTGTTTAAATGGCAAGTGCAAGTAGTACTATTTCAATAACATTCTTATTGTACAAACCACATAGCTAGTTAATTTTTGTTGACACCAGACTAGGTATTTAAACGTACTGAATCTGAATTTTTATCACTTAAGCACTTAACATCTATAATACAATATTAATACATATAATTTTCTTAGATACATAATTATTGGTTCTGTTAGTTAACTATTAAAAAAACTTCATTATTTTTTTTATGCAAAAGCAAACCCATATCATGCACATGCTAAGTTACATATAGCAAGGTTATTTGGGGTCACTTACTGTGGCTGGTGACACCCGTGTGGCGTGCGATAGATTGGGATGCCCGTCACCGTCCATAGAAGAAGGGTTAGTATTACTGGGAACCATATACGTCACCCCACTTGTATCCTGTGGCAGTCATTTAGGAAGAAAAAGGAATCAGATCAGATTGATGGGACAAGGCATGATGGTAGTTTTGAACAGTCAAATCAGTTTTCTTACGAACAATTGTGAAGTGAGATCAGACTGGAAAACTTTAAAAGCAAATACCGATAATTGTTGTTCTAACAACTGTCAAGTAGTATAACATGCATATTATAAACACTCAGCAACTTTATTGTAGCAAATGTGATTTTTAAAACTAAAATGTTTTATTGTTTGCAGAAATTATTAAATTCAACTAAATGTTAAATAAATACAATTGTGTACAAAAACTACATAATAATAAGAAGGAATTTTTATTTGCATTCACTTCTACAGTATCTGATTATTTTCTCTGTTATGAAAACCGAAGAGAAAATAAAAGAGAGAAAAGAAAAGAACAAAAGTAAAGAGAGAAAAAGAAATGCTGAAGAATTATCTTACAAATTTCAAACAAAGCTAGTGATGTAGGTGCTTATTGGATTTAAAAAAATTCAAAATGTTCCTCATTTCTGCTGTGTAGACATGCCATTGATCTTGATATACTAATATAAACATCCATCATAAGAACAACATCATTGGAATATATTGTTAAGGTATTATGTACCTTTCTCTCATTTACTGTTTGATTATTAGACTTGTGATGCTCCTCACTACTTTTAAACATACAATCAACAACCAAGGATTTTAAATATAGCAGAACCTTAATATGCATAACTTTTCAAATATTTGAACATTTTATGTAATTTTGAAGTCAACAAGAGTAATTCAATATTTAGAAGCCTGAAATTGACTCTGCCTTAGGGTTCTTACATATTTAAATGCACCTAGTCAATTTGATGCAAAGTTAATACAGTATAATCAGTCTAAACTGGAACCTGTACAAGCCGAAAACCTGCCTTATCTGGAAAATTTCTCCGGCCCATGAAGTTAAATGGCATTTTACACAGCATAAAATGGAATCTGTCAAACATGGAAACAGAATGGTTTTTCATGACCTAGGGGAAAAATCCTTTATAAAGCGGAATTCCTGTAAATTGGCAGAGAGACATGACATATTCCTATTGAAAAGAATGCATCTGCAAGTGTTTTAAATTCTCCATCCAAGTGACGTAATTTAGTCGTGGCTGCGTATCATTCAACCTCGTTGTCGCTTGTCTCTCAAGGAGTAGGACACAAAGGAATTCTCTCCCTCCTGACTCTCTGAGCGTGGGAAAGTGTATGGACATTGCTTCTATTCACGCATCTCCCTGCCTGTGTAGAAAATTGTAACCCTTCCGCCAGAGACATACTGCTCAAGGCCATGCGAGGGTACCAGAAAGTCATAGTACTCTGGGCTGTGACGCATTTGGTGTTGAAAGAGCCAGCAATCAGTCTGACTGCAGCCACTAGGCCATGAGGTAGTGTGTATAATTTTGAGTTTCAGAACCAGTTTAACAATGGTTGAAAGAAAACAACATAAAACTCTAACCTTAGATCAAGCTAATAGAAGCAAGAGAAACTCTGAATCTGTCAAAGAAGAATGTTTAATATTCATTCATTGGTGATTTCCATCCACTAACAAATAATCATAAATATGTTATGTGTTAATGTTAATTATAATTAAGTTGTGTAATTTACTTGTTTCACGATGGAAACATCAATATTACAAGTGTTATCACATACACAACCCTGCATAAAACAGAAACTTTCCTACACTGGCATTTTTTGTTATCCCGACTGATTCCAGCTTAAGACAGATTTTACTGTAGTTACAAAAACACTGAATACATAAAGAAATTCAAGTTATTAAGTTTCCTCAGTATTTCAATGATTAGCTTTTGGCAATTGACAATTTATCTACTATTTAAAAAAATTATTTCATACAAAATGATTTGATATTAGATGAAATTCTTCAAAGAAATTATTTTAAAATATATCTTGAACAGTAATCCAAAAAAAGTATTTATGCAATTCATAATTCCTGTAAAACCACTTTTGCTACCTCTTTCCGAAATTTTTTTTGTTTTCAATAGACTCGGAAATAAGCTCTCTGTGGGCAATACAGCCTCTACATAGTTGCTAAAATTATCCAGATTGTCATTAGGAACGTCCAGAGAAAACAAGACCTGGGTTGTAAGATCCACGGGAGCCCCTTATTTCAAATAAAAAATTGTCTAGTCGTTTATATAATCAGAATTTATCTTCTTATGCAACACAAATAACTTAGTGATTAATTTGAATTGCAAGTAAATACTTTTATTACTTATTTTGAATGAAAAGAAATTTTTGGGGTCCCAATTAAGTTGAGGCAGGAGCAAGTTGCCCCAGCTGCTCCCCCTTCTGGGAGTAATATTAATTCAGGTGACATTTGGTGATGATGTGGGTATTAAATGGAAACAAACAAACAAGAAAAAAATATTTTTCTTATCAAGAAATATTAAATCTCTTATATATGTAAATTACATTTGATTTATAATAAACAGTACTAATATATTCATATGAGAGGTAAGTAAAAATATTCAATATTTATTTTCCCTCAAAGAAGCTAGCTTTTTAGAAAGAGAAGTGGAATGAGAGCTCCATAAATTTATTTCCAAATTGGGATGGCAGAATAAATAATGAAGGGAACCGATTAACTAGAAATTAATTGCAACAGCAAACAGTGTACATCTTCTTTTAGCTCTTTGTTCCACTAAATTGCACATTACAGTGGAGCCAAGTAAATATAGACAATATTAACAGTGGTATATGGACACACATTGATGTGTACTATGAGATAAAGTTGCATTTCATTTCAGGATTACAAATATAACTCTCAGAAAAGTATTTACAATTTTTGTAATCAAGAACACAACTGAGGTGAATTATGCTTGAACTTTTTTATGAAAAGTGTTGAAAATATTAATTATTATATTCATAAGAGAAATCATGATTTGACTGGACTGGTTTGAACAATAAGCCACAATAAAAATTCTGAATTTTTTTCAGTTTAACAACAAAGCAAAACTTACTTCTTGATGATTTCCAAAGAAGAAAGTAATATATCAAATAATGGAATTCTAATTATATCAAAACAGCTCAGTTACCATGGTTATTCAAAAGCTGTGTGTGATATAGACTAAGGATACATCTCATTTTCTCCAACATCCATGTGAAGAAATCTTCCATTAACCTATCAGCATCTATATAATTCAGGAGCACATATATGAAGCAAGTTTTGATGCAACAAACAAGCAGCATGCAATAATATATCATTATGGAAAAATATGTACAAGCTGTGATCATTACTAGTTAATATCATTCTGAAATTCAAAGTGAATGCAGGCAATGTTCTGTAAATTTGATTTTCTTCGGAATGGCCTCAATAAATCAGTTTCCTCATTTTTTTAAGGTGAAAAGACTGGTCACTAAAATATTTAAGAAGAAAAACACAATTTAATAATTTGCAGGTAGAGATGAACAACTATAGCAAACTGTCATCGAATTTTGTTCAACCTAAGTTTTATAAAAAGGCATAAGTAGTAAGGTGTCTTAATCTCTCCAAGTACGTTTTGGTGTTCAAAATTTGACTTTGTTCTTTCTTCCTTCCTACTCCATTTTTTAAGTCACCTATCCCTTTGATGTTTAATTAGGATAACAAGTTCCCTTTATTAAAGATTGGAATTAATATTCATTTTGTAACATTATGCATGTGAATACATAAACAAATGAAGCTTTTGATGAGGCCATTATGATGTGCGAGTATGCAAAACCTTTTGGATGTATTTTCTCTTTTGATCCTTCATTATGACATCTTAGTTTATCTTAAAGTGCAGGGTGCCAACAAATGTTCTTATCGAACTTATCTTGAGATGCCATTAAAGATGGCAGATGATAACATAATTTAGACACCAGTATCTCTGTAAACCATAGTCCAATCATACTTTTGGTTTTAAATAAAAGGTAATGAACTATTCTCTAAGAAATGTACTTAACCACTTTTTGATATCTCATACCATTTTTAAGTTAAAATACATTTTTTGAACATGTGAAGTGAAAAGTTGTTCTGGAGATTCAAAAGACAATTTTGGAAAAGTGCCCTACACGATCACCTTAGATTTTTATTCATGAAATTTTGTATGCCAAGTTCCACAAGTCTCAAAAGAACATTTGGGAAGTTGTAGCTTTATAGATAAGATAATTTTTGAGATAGAGTAGTTTGATTGTCCCCACACAGCATTGTAGTACAGTACAAATATCAGATTTTTGAAACTTTGGGACTAAAAACCATTTCCTTCTTGGTTATTGCTACATAAATTAAACTGTGCTTACTTGTGCAGCTGTTTTACTTTATTCAATGGAACTAAGATAATTTTTTTCATTTATTAATTCACAAAGTGCAAAGTCATAAAAAAATTTCAGACTTTACAATGAATAGCTTCTAAAAAATAAACATGATATATTTGGCTCATAATATATTATTGTTTTTAATGCATAATTTCAATCTAACTCTTACAACTTCTTCAAAAATTACAGTTTTGCAACATTTATCAGACTTTACAGTGTATCTACTGTGTATTAATAAATGAAAAATTTATACTAGTTACACTGAATAGTCTGAAACATTTGTGAAAACAAGGTCAGTTAAATTTGGGTAGTGAAAACTTGAGAAAGAAATATTGTTTCCCACAATTACAAAAATGTAATAGTTGTGCAGTACAATAATATTGCAGGCAATCAGACTAACTGCTCAAAAACTATTTAACCCATTAAGCTACAACTTCACAAAAGTCTCTTTGAGACATGTAGAACTTGAAATATAAAATTTCATCAAAATGTATGATAGTCACATGAGACACTTTTCCAGAACTGTCATGGAATGACCCTTTACATAGGTTCAGAACAACTTTCTCTTTGCATGTTCAAAAGATGCACTCAAAAACTGTGCCAGATATCCAAAGGTGTGCAAAGACATTTCTTAAAAATGGACTTCGCAATCTATCATTTAAAACTAAAAAATAGCAAAA